AATGGGTGCCCAGTCTTGTATTTCTCCTGTAAGTAGTGGCTATACAACAGGCTTCCACTCAAAAGGCCTTATTAATTTCCTCCCTCCTTTCAGAATCCATAAGCCCTTGGTACAAGTTCCCAGAGCTTTTTCTCTTGGCTTCACAAAGCTTAGTTTTGTCACAAATGACTGCAGATTACTATAAAAAATAAAAATGATTTTTTAAAAAGATGGCTCCCAGTAGCTGAGTTTGGTTGACAGAGTGGAGCAGCAATCTGCTGGCTGCAGCTGTTCTGCTGAGTCACCTCTCAGTGTAACCAGAGAGATTGTTTCCAGAGAGGAATCTACAGAACATCAGTAAAAACTTCCTAAATGGAGAATTACTTAGCCTTTAAAAATGAAGGAGAAAAAGAAAAAGTGGCAGTGTTTCATAATCTTCTTAAGACTCTTTCAGCTCATCAAAAGGTAAGCGTTTTCTTACCTCAGGTATGCTGGGCACAGCTGGCTTGCTGTGCTTTTTAATGTTATCACTGTATTCAACCAAACTAGGGGTGCCCTTTTTTAATGGAAATGCCCCAAGATGCTACCAAAAAATGAATAAAATATATCGGCTTCCTGTGTTCTGATTCACTCTAGGTTTCCTATGCTGTTTAACCAGTGCAGTGCCAATAGAAAGCCAGGTTTTTGGTTAGGATGTGCAAGGGTTATTGTGAACTTTAGGAGAAAGCAGGAGGCAGTGATGTCGTGGGACAAAGGCAATTTAATGTAATGTGCAAGGTGAATAGGCTGCTGGGATGTGGGAAACTTTACCTACAGAACTTGCTATAATAAGTGGCTGCTTTTTATTTACAGGGATTTGGCTTCTTTTGGAGCAGTGTACCCACTTTATGTTGTACCCCAAGAAAGATGGGGACCATAGGAAAAATCTAGAGAGAAGTAACAGGGATGATAGTCTAAGCAAATAAAACTACAGTGAAACCTTGGGAAGCCACTTTAGCTTGCAGAATAACAACCATGGTGAAGCATTGAAATAGATTTTCAGTGAAACTTGTGAGGCTCCAGTTAAGAACAGATCAGTCAGAAGTCTGTCAGGAGTTATATGAAACCTTACCTTTGGCAAAGAGGATAAGAAAACCCAAAACCAAAGCATGCAGGTAGCTTGGGTTACCAAAGGGAATTGCTTGAACTTCATGAAATGTTGCGCATAAATCCACACCTAGAAATCAAATATAAAAAGAGTTGGAAATCTTTTTTTCAGGATTCTGTTCTGGAAAAATAAACCATTGGGGAGCACTGGAAAATGCAGAAGATACATATCTTTCCCCTGAAGTTATCATATGATTTTTTTTGCAGCACATTCTTTTCTAGCTTGTGGGGATGTGTTGTGGGGTTTGTGTGTTGGGTTTTTTGTTTTGTGCCACTATCAGCATGGATTGTTCCTCCAGAAGTGATGGTGAGGATTGGTTTTGCTTTTTGCTGTTGAAGAGCAGGTCCTGCCTTATGAGTGTCTGTAAATGTAGTTTTGGGCAGTCATCTCGATTTACTTTATTCTCCCAAAAGAAGGTAATGGGAAGGAAGAAGAGCTTTTTAAGGTACTTGGGAAATGAGAATCTGTTTTTAGCTATCCCGCAAGTTTCTTCTGGGAATCTTAATTTATGTCTGAAAAATTAAGACTAAGCTATGTAGAAAATAACAAGACTCTTTTACTTTCTTTGATCAGAAAAGCTAACTGGTGTCCTAAAGGTAGAAAATGTTACGTAAGTATATAGTAGTTGCACAAAATAAGTCAGATTTTCTTTACTATTAATCAGAAACTTTAATTTCCTTTTTAAAAAATACAAACAGCAGCTGAAGCTGTAACAGGTTTCCTTTCATGATTTAAGGATACTTCCTTAAGCATTTGTTTCTGGTGAAGACTTTTGTCATCTTTTGTGAGATGTGGAAGCCATTTTGAGATGTGAGGCTTGAAAATAAGTTGTAAACTATATTTTTAAGCCTTTTTTACATATGTAGCTGAACTAGTCTTGTCTAGAAACTTATTATTTTGGACTTTGAGTTCTCTGAACGTATAGCCATCTGTGTATCCAAATGGATAAGGTATTTATTTTTATTACTTGTTTTGAAACGGAACAGAAGTTCAAGTCCCAGTGTGCTTTATATAAAAAGTGAAAAACATCACAGATGAACAGGGTCTGAAGGGCCCAGCACTTGTGTTGTTGGTGTCCTTAGCAATGCCCTCTGTGCCCCAAGGTACCTTTTCCACTCCTAGAAAGTGCAGTGTAAATGGAAGTAAATTGCATGTAAAAGTGGCACGAACAGCCATGACCCCTTTCTTGTCCTCTTCTCTAATTTAAATAACAGCAGGTTTTTTTGATGTCTCTGAGGTAAGAGGATTTCTATAAAGGAAAACGCGGAACAGCTTTTATTTAATGAAAGTAAATGCCAGAACGGTAAATGTGTTGCACTTAATACTAGCAGATACCACTGTGAATTATGTCATCGATGCGTACATTAAGCAGATGAATTTCAGGACAGCGTAAACCAGTAGATATCACAAAGAACGGGAAATTATAAAACAGGATAGGTACACCTAAAACAAAAATATTTCTATGCTCTTCCACTGAGGTTTGTGTTTTATTTAGGTGTGTAAAAACAAGATGCTCTGTACTCTTGAGTTTATGATGTTAGCTAAGCTCTTGCCATGCAACTGAGGATATATTTCAGTAACAAGGTATTCTTTATCTGATTAAATATAATCTTACTAGTTAATCCTCAGCTTTGTGTATAATTTAAAGAAACATTCTTTCATCTGGAAGATGCATTCAGCTAGGAACCAAAAATACATTTAACTGCAAGAGAATCTGAAATTTGGAAAAAATGTTTACTTACTAAAGAATAGGTTTGGAAAAGGCGATTTAAATGTTTTGAAGGTTTTGTGATTTGTCAGAATTGGGATCTAGAAGCGTGAGGGTTTTGTGAAGATTGAAGTCTGCAAAGAGCAGCTTGAGGGACGTGAAGCTGATGTGGCAGTTGGAGTAAGACAATATATGCTACTTAAAATATCTCACTCAGGATGTTTCTCACTTGCGTTTTGATGTAGAACACCGCACTGTGAAAGCTCAGTGATGATTATCAAGCCCAAAAATAAGTTTCTAGGAAAAAAAAATCTTCTAGAATTAGAAACAGTTAGGGAAGAATGCCATATTTGAATGGTTAGTGAGATAGCAGGAAAGCTGCAAGTGTAAGCATCTAGGAATATGATATTCAGGTGTCACAAATGCACCTCCAATATCTTACCAGCATCTGTTCGTAGCTATGCTCTGCTGCTGGAGTATCTCAGTGCAGTGCCTTGGTACCAGAAAATACATAGATTTCTGAAATCTGAGGCTGGAAATAAACTTGCAAATGGTTTCATTTGGCTCTGGACCATCAGGTGAAACTTCCTCACCCACTCCAGCAGATTCTCTGCATTTACTTCCAGTCTTCTGTGAAGATGCAGCTATTTTCTGTTGACTGAAAATGGGAGAGTTTGTAAGAAATGGGATGCTGGGCTTCACAACTTTCCTCTGGCATTTTGTGTATCATAACCATTTTGTTCAAATCTAAGATGTTGCATTTTCCCCACTGACCTTTCTACTAGCACTTAAGCAGAGTGAGCAGTTTGTGCGTTGGGTTGAGCATCTGTCTGGGCCTTCCCCACAACAATGAGGAGTCCACTCAGCTCTTCAAGTCAGCTGAAATACTGACTTTTCACAGGTTCTGTGGGGTTCTTTGATTTCCAGTGTGTGCCAGCTGAAATGGTAGATCAGAGATGATATTCATGAGCAAAATCTTAAGTAAACTTTATTATTTAAATACAGTTTAATTTAAAATGCAACTTCCAGATTTACAGTGTTTCATACTTTTGAGTGTTTATTGACATTTTTATAAACATACTTGGTTTTCCCTTACTAAACTATTGAAGTATTTTATTCTAAATATACTCTGAGATGAAGATAAATGATGAGAACTCAAACCTTAGAAAATTCAGCTCTAGCACTGCACTGCCTTCAATAGGGTTCTTGCACAGGGGCAGATGAATGACTTTGCAGCACCATCATGACTACAGATAGTTTTCCTGCTTCTGACAGTCATGTCAGGTTGAAATGAGAGGAAGCGGAGATCACATTTTCAATTCCGTGTTCTGTAATAGCTGAACCTTTTTAACATAATATTGATCACTGTGTAAATTGTTAAATTTTATTGAAAAATATTGTATTAAAACTGATGCCATGCAAAAGCCGTCTAATGTTTAAAATTCCTTATCTGTTACAAGTATTTAAAATATAGGTCGCTATTCCTATATATGCGATTTTGCTATGAAGAGAGCCAGCAGAGGGAGCACGCGTGGGCTCCCAGTTCAGTACCTAGGCCTTACCCGAGGTGCTGCTACTGGTAGTGAGGGAGGACAACACAAACTTCAAATTGGCTTTTTGTTTTTTCAGATGAAAGGAATTCTGTGAAGTGGGCATGATCAAACGTGTAGGTCAAGGACTGTTTTCCAAAAGCTTAGGAAAGCATTGTTAATAAGAGAGTTCACATTTAAAACCCTATTTAAATATGCATGTTGGATGGTATTCTAATATCTGTAAGCTGCAGCAGTTTAAAATTACGATTCTTAGACTTACAGTCCGTACATATACACTCCTAGTGTCTATAATACTAGTACAGCAGCACAGGCGAGTACAGGAATGGAGTTTGGTAAAGTCTTTTTGAATTTTTAATTTTAGGGCAGCAGCAATGACTCTAAGAACAGTGTTGTTATCGCTGCAAGCGTTGTTGGCAGCTGCAGAACCAGATGATCCACAAGATGCAGTAGTGGCAAACCAGGTAAGACACTGACTGAATTTGTAACACTTCTGTAACCTTTGCTAATGCAGATGAGGTTTTAAACCTTGGGGGAGATACAGATTTTAAAGAATTTATTGGAAAATTGCCTTACAGTAAATGTGAGTTACCACAGTGTTTGTGCTCTTCACTCTTTCAATTCCAGAGTGAGTAGCAGTTAGTTTACTCTGTCAGGAAGTTTATTTTGTTAGTTTTGTTCCTTATTTAGCTTGTCAGATATGTCAGGAAATAACAGTAAAGTGAATTCCGGTATTGTCTTTTAAAATCTAAGGCTTCTAGTATAAGAAAAGCAGTGTTGCACTGGTTTAAAATGACTTTTAACTTGATAATGTTCATTGGATTTGACTTGGTATGTAGCTTCTCTTCCAGATTAATATGAATATTGAGCGCTGTCTTTGTTTAATGTCAAAATTTTATGAATAGTGGCTTTAGATGAATAAGTGTTGCATTTAATCCTAAGTAGCAGTTTATCTGAATGAAGCATCCTGTGTGTTTCACCTTTGCAAGTACTTGGAAAACTCTTTTTTAGTTACTGGTTGAATTGCTATCAGTAGAGTTCTAAAATCAGTAGTATTTGTTAGTTTTCAGACAGTAGCAATAACTTATAAAAAGTAATAACAATAAAATGTCAGTTGGATCTCATGCTGTACCAGGACTGATACAGTTGAATCAAGTATTGATGAAAGATAGGAACTGTCATTCCATAACTTAGTTTTCAAGAAGAGCCCAGGTATGTGTGGTGGTTTCCTTTTTACTCTGGAGAGAGAGAAGGCCTGGCTTCCCCACAGACTGGTGGGAAAGGGCATGTGTCAGCAACAGAAGAGCAGAGCAAGCAGAAGCCTCTTCCAACATCAGTCTCATCTGTATCTCCTGTATCAGGACCCTCCAGGATGGGGTGATGAAGTGTGCACTCCTTTCCCCTAAAAATCTGTGTAGGGTGATAGATCAGCAGCTTATCAAACCTGTCAGGATTTGGAGGGAAACATGGAGACCAGAGATAGCCCATTTGCCAGTGCTGTCCTCAGCAATGAGTGCAGAAGGGTTAGTTGTGGGGCTCTGCAGTGCTGTCAGGCTGCTCTGAGCAGCCCTGCCAGGCTGTGATCCTCTGCGCAGGGAGTGTTGGTCCAGAGGCCAGTGAGGCCACCAGGCACAGCCCTGCAGCAGTTTCTCTTGCCGGATGCATGCCCTTGCTGTCACACTCTCTTTATTAGATGAGACCACTTTTTTCCTTCTTTTACAAAGAACAAGAACATTCTCATTCTGGCCCCAGTGGTGGAATTTAGTATGGGAATCATACTAAAGTGGAAGCACTTGAGCTGGAAAGAGGCTTTTTTCTCTGGCAAAAAACTGCATGAAACTTCCGAGATTTTGAAGAGCATTTTTCTAGGCTGCCCATCAAGTTGTTATGGGGATATGTCTGGTGGGCTTAGTTTCTCTCCTGTTCCCTGTAAATACCTGCATGGAAACTGTACTGGGGTTTGTCCTTGAGTTACAAGCATAGGTACATAAGTGGAAAGTGATTATAATTTCTTTGAGAGATGTGGTGTCAAACAGCCACTTCCTTCATGTGTTTTATTTTGTGCAGGGGTCTTTTTTAGTCTGTTTGTGGTTTGTTTTCTCAAAACAAAAATTCCCAAGGAATTAGTTATCCTCCACGCTCATTTTTCATTGTTAATTATAAATGATGCTACGTGTTGGCATAGTGAGCTGTCCAGGTAAATGGCAGTGTCCTCAGCTCTGGAGCTGAGTCCCAGGGAGAGCACAGGGAGAAGTCCAGTCTGAGTAATGGCAGCGTTTTCAGACACCAGCTGTCGGGCGTCAAAACTGCTTCAACTTGTTGCTGTTTCCTTAAGTACAGCAACATTCACTGCCTCAGATTCCTGATATAGAGACATCAGTAAAAGGTGCTTTTAGACATTTCTCTATTCAGTGAGAAGCCAGATTATTTATGGATACCTAAGTAAAGGCGTTTTATTTATAGAGCACTGAAGGCTAGTTCTAAATAAAATGCAGTTATGACTAATCTTTGCACTTCAGCTAGTTGCTTTCTAGGCTTGGCAGTGTTCTCAATATATTAAAAAAATTAGGGGAAGATCTCTTAAGAGCAGAAGATTATAGTACTTTAGGATTCTACTGGTGTTTAACTTAATCGTTTGTCTTTTCTAGTCATTGGGACCAAAGAAATTTATTACAGACCACTGTATTTTATAACACAGTGAGTTATTTCCAACAATATTGTCTCCCATGCTTGTTTAAATGCCATTAATAATCAGATAGCAAATAAATAACTTCATTTGGAACAGAACTAGTGGAAGGTGTCCAAAGCACATAGTACAGTGTAGTTGGTGTGTGTTGCTGTACGAGAGAGAAAATGAAACGTACAGCAGTAAAAAGTCTTATATTCACTTTGGTGCTTTATAGATTTAACGATTCTTTTCATGTATGCATAAAATGCTTAGAATGATAATCAGTCTCTGTCCTTAAAATGCACCCAAATATTTGAGTAATGTATCACCTGGTATCCTGTGTTACTGATTAGTGATAAGTTATTTTATATATAAAGATGGGAATACCTACTTTTTTAGAGTATAATGATTTATTAAGAGTTGTGGGGTTTTTAATAGAAAAAAATTAAAACTTGTTATTACGTACAAAAGCTGCTAAAACAGGAGACTCATCTTGCTTTTCTGAGTACAGTTTGTGACAGATGACCTACTTTCTTGGCGCAGGCTGAGAATGCTCTGTGATAAGGTCCATTCTGTTTGTTAGAAAACTTGTTAGCGACATGATTGGTGCAAAATAATATTTACGTACCCAGCATTACTTTTTTCTCTGGTAAATAATGGCTTGCACGCGAAGAGTTGCAGCTTCCCAGGTTTTGCCACACACTTGCTCATGTTTTAGCCTTTCTTTTGTGACCTACGCTGTCAATATCCTTGTTCTCAGGAGGAAGCCTGGTAGTAAAATGTCAGCACTGACTGAAAAAGTGCAGACCTACTTGCTGTGTATAACACCAGGCACATTTTTAAGTGATGGGAGAAATGCGCTAGTGTAGCACGCAGTGTGTACGTTCAGGAGATGTTAACATAGGAATATAAACATAATTTGTGCTCTGCCACACGGAATATAAATTCTCAATCACTGGGCTAAATATAGCTGCTTTACTTCTGATCACTACGATTGAGAGCAGCACCTGATTGTACACATCAGTAGCCATAGTGCATAATTTAACCTTAAGGCAAATGCATTAATTTAAATGCTTGCGTGGGTTTAGGTTGTGTAATCCTCACCTCTGAGTTTAATTTCAAAAATAGCACTATGATCAGTGTGAAACACTGCTGAAGATACTGTGGAAATGATAATGGATTGGAGCCTGCCGTATTGTCTTGCTTTTTGGTTGAATTGCAGAGTTGATATAATTTTCCCCTTCTCCCCCCTCTTTCTTTTGTGTAGTACAAACAAAATCCAGAAATGTTTAAACAGACAGCTCGACTTTGGGCACATGTGTATGCTGGAGCACCAGTTTCTAGTCCAGAATACACCAAAAAAATAGAAAACCTTTGTGCTATGGGCTTTGATAGGGTAAGTATATGTAACTAAATATTTTTCAGTAGGGGCAGGGCACAAATACGTGTATAAATACAGGGAGTAGTTATTATACTGAAGTAGACTTGCTACTTCCATGACTCTTTGTAGGTCTAATCATGCTATTTTGTTAATTTGTTTTAAGATACTATGTTACTGAGCTACCCCTGCCTTTTTTGAAACTTTTTTTTCATATAAATTATTAGTTAGGGTTTAATAAATGGTAAACTGATGTGTTCTGATTAATGTGAACTTCTCATTCCACTTCTCAGAGCTGCAGGCTCACAGACTGAAAATGTTCTTGCTTTTGTTTTCTCATTGCAGAATGCAGTAATAGTGGCCTTGTCTTCAAAATCATGGGATGTAGAGACTGCAACAGAATTACTCCTGAGTAACTGAGCCATGGAGAGAGAGCTGCTTCAATAGTCCAGCTTGCCCCTTCTGGAGGATCATCACCATCTGTTATTTTTAGGATTCTATATAGATTCTCTTTTAAAACTGGCACCCTTGCCTGATGATGCTATCTAGGCACTATTGGAGACTGAAAAAAAAAAAACAACGCTCTGTAAATAAAGCTAATTAAAAGTCTGTGTAAATTTAAAAAGGGGAAATACTTTAGTTTTTTTTTCTTACTAAATATTGTAAAAATTCTTTGAGCTCAGCTAAAATAATGGGGAAAAAACATGCCTACTTTAGTGTTTAGCAGTGTGACGAAGACTAGCAGGAACTTGCTTCAGGATTCTGATTTTAGTAATTCAGAAAGCAGCATTTTTGAGTGTTTGTCATCAAAATTGTTGGTGCCACTCATCACAGCTATCTTACTGTTTTTAACATGGATCCTATGTGCCTGTGGATTGACCTATATTTGCATGCTTGTACTTAATAGACATATTAGGTAGGGTTGCTGGAGAGAGCACCACTGAAATGCTCGAGTGTTTTTGTAACTCTTTTCCTGACAGACTTTCCCAAAGTTCCAAATGGTGACCACCTCCTCAGAACCGGCTTCTTTCTAGCTTACCAATTGGGAAACCTGATTCTCCTCTCCCTTTCGCCATGCAGGTGAAAATCCTCACTGGATTACGTTTCATCTATGGGTATTACATGTGCCATTCACCGTAGTCTAGGCTCCCCTTCAAAAGCTGTGTTTTGAATTACCAGTAACGGTTTTCACCCATCATGTTTTCTACACTATTTCGTAAGGAGGATGTCTCAACAGAGCACAAAAAGATGGAGCTAGTTTTCTTTCTTTTTTTTTATTTGTATTAAATAGATGTAAAATGTTCTTCAGTACATTCTGGATAATTTCACTGGGTTTGAAGGAGGAAAAAGTGGATTCGTTAGTGTACTGAGAATTAAAAAGGTTCTTCTTTGAGTACTTGATATGATGCAATCAGCTGTTTTTTGCAGCGGTTTTGTAGCTTTATTTTGGGCTACCCAAATTGCTTACCCCAGGTACTTTAAAATTCATCCCTGCTTGCATTTTTCTCTAGTTGACACATGGAGGCTGTGTTAGTGTGTTTACTGTACATACTTAAAATACATAGAAGTGTGTTCCCGATTTGTTTTTCTTGGATTGATGTTTCTGATGAATGAGAACTGAAATCTTATCTTGGCTTGTACATGCAGTCAGTCGTCTCACTCGTATTATGACATTTCATTCTGAGTGCAGAAGCTTGAAAATTAGTAGTTTTGCAACTTCAAACACTAGTACATCTATTTAAAGAGAGCTACAATGTCTTTGTGAATATGATGCTAACTTTGGAGAATGTATCTGACAAGGAAGCTTGAGAAATACTGAGATAGTGGGGATTGGGGATTGTGCTGATGGAGTGCTGTAGAAGTCATCTTTTCCATCACTGGTTTTTTTCTCCTAATTAATGGGGTGGGGAAATGTATGTTTGGGGATTTTCTGAAGTTAGGAAGCAAGAGTTGAAAGTTTCATGTTTCATAGACAGTCTGTTTGTAAATCACACTAGAGGAAATTGGGAGCATTATTGTATCTGTTAAATATCTGTATTTTATCTGTTAAATACCTGGGGCACAGTGGTAGGGGAGCAGATGCAGAAAATCAAGCAGGCCATGCTGTTCTGCTTGCTCTGTTGTGTCCAAACTTGGGATATTCAGGGCACAAACAGTAAATACTCTGAACTCATATCAGTGCAATACTAAACACAGTTGCATAGTCTTCATGCTTACTGTGTTCTAAGGTGTAGTCAGTGATCAGTTTTCTTGGGTTTTCTTGAGCTAGTGTAAATCATTTGCAATGATGCCAAAGGAAACAAGTTGTTTTGTCTTTCCTTATATTTATTTATTTTTTTTAATCAAGAAGCTGCTACTGTTTGGCTGGCTTGTGAGTACAGACCAGGGGTGGTAGGAAACTATGGCAAAATGCCACTTGTGTTAATCTCAAGTTGCTGTCTTTTCTGTTATACAGGTAACTTCTTGGTTACATCAACACCTTTTGTTTTACCCTGGTGGTAATTACAAATTGCTGACTACTTTTCCTTGTTCTTCACTGCCATTTATCAAATGAAACAACTTGGAAATCATTGTCAGAGATGCAAAACTTCTCAGTTAAGGACTTCTGAATGTGTCTTTTTTTTTTTAAGATCAGTCTCCTAAGCACAGCAGGTTTTTCCAACAGTGTGTAAAGGGCGATGAAGGAACCTGGAGAAAGGGGAGAAAAGAGGAAAGAGCTCCTAGCTGAGGATCCTCACCTCTGAAACGGCGCCCTGTGAAGTTCTGCTCTTGTGAAGTTACCTCATTTTCCTCTCTACTGCAAAACACTCATCGTCCCCTTTCCCCTCGTATCTGGATGTTGGATGCTGGGTTTTGCCCTCCATCTGTGCGCTTGGTGGCAAAGATGTCTTGATGCTAGCTCAGGTGCAGGCAGGAGGAAGCTTCTCGAGAGTGAGGTGGGGAAGGAAGTGTGACCCAGTGTTAAGGAGACATCTGGGGTCTGAAGTCCTCCTGAATTTTGACACATGAGTCCTTTGTAAGGAATGTTTTTTGTATTGGTAATTATCAGAGTTGAATATAGGGATAGCATTGTACAGGGTTAGTTGAACCACAGCTGGGGCTGAGCCCTGGGAACTTTACTCTTAGTGTTCAGTTTATTGTTGAGTTTGTACAAACCAGATGGCAGTTCTGCTTGCTGTGTCTGTATTCGGGGCCCTGCACATTCACCGCTGTGGAGGTGCCATGCAGCCCACTGCACACTTACCACTTCCTTACAACAAGAATGTAAACCGTGGACACAGTTGCTTTCCAAGTACAAATAAATCGTGTTGTCTTCCTCTGTCATGCAAGAAGACAGCTTGAAACAGAATTTTGCAGTCTAAATGGCCCTGTTTTTCTAATCCAGGTATTGGCAATGACACAGATTGCCAGAGCATCAATCAGATTTTACTGCTGAATGTTTGAATGTGCATCCAGCAGAGTGGTTTATCCCTTGTTTGTGTTGGGGAACAGGAAACTCTTATCTTGCCTTCTTGTCTCAAGGAATAAAGTGCAGCTTTGTTCAAAGGTAGGGAAATGCCCTTTCCTGTTGCCAAAAGCCTCCACTTTCCTGTGAGTGCCAAAAGCCCTGAGTGCATCCCACTCCCACTCGCCAAATTCACAACTTCCTCCTGTTGCTTCTGCGAACAAGCTGTGTTCTCAGTGTGACAAATGGGTACATTTTGGAGGCAAACCTAGGAACACATCCTTCTGGAAAGATGTTGCACTTGGTGCTCTTCATTCTGCATATTCCAGTCTTTAAATTTTTATTTTTAAAAGGGCTTGCCACATTGTTTGTGAGGCCTTGACTATAATTGGTTTGGTAGTAGTTATCTAAGCAATTAGGTACTAATGGTGTAGGAATAGGTCTTGGGTTTTGGTTTATTTGTTATTGTCATCATTACTATATTTAACTTTTCGAAGTAAGCTGGTATTAGAAATCTGACATAAGAAATATATTCCAGCACAGCTTTCTCCTGTGGCTAGGCAAGGGGGCACCCACCTCTTTCTTGGTGGCTTCCTGATCTATCCAAACCCATCAGTGAATTGCATAGCTCGCTCTTCCTGTGTGTGGTGTCATTGTCCTCAGCTGGTCCAGTATTGCTCCCCAGACCTGTCCTTGGTGCATTTTGCTGCTTGTGCTGCAGCTGCAGTCACCGAGCTCTGTAGGCAGCAACTTAGCTGCTCTCTGTCTGTCCTTCCCAGACAAACTCTTGCAGATCACTTGTGCTGTGCTGTTCTCTCTCTGCTGTCACCTGCTCTGTAGGCATCCATCCCGTAGCCAGCCCCTCACGTGTGGTGCTGACCCACTCATCCATAATGTCAGTTCCTCAGCAGCAGAGGAAATGTGCTGTGAAAACACTGTCCTTGTCCATTTTCCCTTTTGTGCCCATGGCTCTGTTGTGGTGTCTGAAGGAGGCTGCTGCCATCACACCAATGCTGGTGTCAACTGGTGAAGAGCCCTGCTGTTACTTACCTTTTCCATCCTAAATGCTGGCTTTTCAAATTTTAAAAGAATATTTACCAATAAAAACCATTACAGGAGGGTGGCTCCTGAGTGTCAGCATTCCTGTGCAGGAGGAGTGAGTGGGCCTGATGGCAGCATCGGTGTTTTTGGTCTTGAAAATAAAAATGACACAAACGCTTTTGTACACAAATGATTTTTTTAAATAAACACATTTTAAAATATGTTGATTTTCACTGGAAATGCTTAACAATAAATGCATGTTTCCCTGAAAGGAGTTTTCATTTTATTTCTGATAATTCCAGTTGTTCTGAGATTACAGGGTATGCTACCTCCGTGCCAGTTTTCAATGAAAGGGATGCTCATTGTCATGATGCACATTAAACTGTTTTGAAGAAGGCCATTGTGTAAATATAAGCTGTGTACTGAAAGTGTGTGTTATTTCAACTGGGACTGTCTCATGATAGCTTCAGAAATAATTGTACATACACAGGGGCTTGGGTCTGCTTTCAAAGGAAAAAAGTTTTCTGTGGGTTTCCCAGCACCACTGCTGTTCATCTCATCCTTGTGCGTTTTAAAACCTGTACTTGATGTATGTTCCAGGTGATTCTGATGTGGGGAGGTGACAGCCTGCAGGGTAATAACACTGTAGAGGAATCCAGTAGAGATGGTGACCATGGAGTTGTTTGCCACCAGTGCATACTATGAATTTCTTCGCCATTTGTCAATGTTTTAAATGGAGTGAAGTGGTTTGAAAGATGGGCTCTGCCAGTGGAAGTGGGGAGCCAGGAGGTTGTGACCCTGGAGGTAATACTGGGTTTTGGATCTGTGTTCCAGCTGGTGTGTTTGTGCCTGGGCAGGTTTTGCAGATTTCCAAGCAGGCTCTGCTGGACGTGATAGTGCTGCACACTTCTACAGTGGTGTAAAGGGGACTTTTTGTTGTTTGTTTAGATTTGCTATGGTCAGGAGCTCTGTTGTATTGTGATACCTCATTCATTAAGAGGGGTGAGGGAGAGGAGGGACTCCCCAGCCCCTCTGCTGCAGGTGGGGGTTGCTTCTCTTTACCTGCCCATTAGTTTAGAAATTTCAAAAAAAGTAATCCTATTCTCTTTTTCTTGTAGTTAGCCACTGCTATGCTATGA